TGATCCATTTCTACCCTAGGGAAGTTATACAAAGCCTAGGAACACATGGCTCGGACGGTTTTCGGTCTAGGCCATGTGATCTTCAACAAGCCGCTTTTGAAGGCAATTGGCACGATAGCTGGGGGCAGGCGGTTGCTGCCAACGCCATTGGTCGCAGTTCTTCCACCAATGACGTTATCAGCAACCGCCCGCCCAACCATTGGGCCCACCCGTCATTAAGACATCAGCTTTCGAACGAGGTATCTGCGAAGTGTACCTTGACGTCCACAAAAGTCCATAACCAAAGAAAAATAACCTGCCGATAAATTAACCACATACAAATAGCACTCACCTCACTGGGTTTCACAACCCGATCCGCTTTCGTAACCTGTTCAATTCCGGACGAGCTGGCCAACGGCTCAACTCTGTCCCTCAGTTGACGCACGTCTGCTTTGCCGCTTTGGACCAGCTGAAAGATATCGGTTGGAATTTTTGATAAAACCGAAAAATTAAAGATTTGAGAAATTGTAAAAAAACTGTTGGAAAAGAGCGATCTCCCGTCTCATCGTTAGATAACCAGAATTCTATCAAGGCTGATAATGTAAAGAAAATCGAGAAGCTCCTTCGCAGCTCTTCCATCAATAACGCTCACGCTAACGCTCCGCTTCATAGTCAGCGCACGAGCTTACCTGCGGTCATTGAAGGAACACTCCAAGGGAGCGAAACGCGGTAGTGAAGAGAGTACCATGAGGAAACACTAGGCGCACGCAGTAGAGAACAGGTGAAAAATTGTGAGAGAGTACATACACAGACGAGCGGAAACGGTATTTCCCGCGCGGCACTTGCAGTGGGCGTACCTCACCTCAAGGAGGCGTGGGCACTTATAAGCTGCAATTTTTTGGTACCCCTGTCCGACACTTTTAGGGTACGAAAACAACATAACTCTGTTGCTGCAGGCTTGCCCGCTTTTCGAACAAAAGCGACTGTACTTCTTAGCTGACTGCGGAGTGTGCCTTCAAATAAAGGGGCATAAGAATGTCCTCCTTTTGCTGGAATTGGACCATAACTGGACGAGGAAAAGAGAAGGGTGAATTTTTCTGCTTTTCATGAGCCTTACTGGTCGTCTGCGGAACGGTAGGAAAGCAAATGCACGCAAGTAAGAGTTGTCGTCAGGACTTGGCCCTTAAACTTGCCGAGAAACCCGAAATTCCTCAGTAAGTGTGAAGATTTCTTACCGTTCTGCTGTGTTCCTCGATCCTTGCCACTAGATTATCCCATCGTTGTGTGACGGTGTCAAGACGTCGACGTACTTCGTTTGCGGCAGCACCGTTACTTTTTTCAAGACGAGCCACAAGTTCACAGCTCAACTGCGATAACCGCACAAACGAACCATGCTCGGCTTCCAGAGCTGCCTCAGCACGTTGCAGTTTTCGTACCTGAAAAATGCCATCAGATCAACTCCAATCAACATGAGGATTCTAGACACTTGCTGACTTTCCAGGCGTCAAACAACAGTGTAGAAAAGATCTGACCTGTTCGGCGACTTGTTCAGAATCTTCGAGGTGGTGCGCAGATTTCAGTCCCAAAAGCTCCTAAAAATTCACAGTGTTGATGCCGTAACCATGCAAAACTACATGTGATTGGCTTCCATTTTTCAGTGCAATTTAAATTTTTTGCTGCATAACTATAACCATAATTGTACTGGATCATACAGTTCGCTGCAGATGATGGAGCTTGTCAAGGAGGATGGAATTGGCACGCCGCCAAGACGTTTTTTGCTTTTTTTTTTCCTTTTCCCGAGTGACAAGACTGTATCCTGTCGTTCATACCAGTCGTTTTCTGCCAATCGTTGTCGCTTACCAGCTTGTCTAGGGAGTGGGGGTATGGCGCGCTACCAGCCCGTTCTCCAAGGCCCCCATCATCCGCGGCGAACAAGACTATAAATACTGTGGACTCCTTCTTGTGGACAAGAACTTCGGTAACCAGCTGCAGTTGCGCAGGGGGAAGGAGGAGTAAGCGGGTGCGAGGCAAGATCCTTCCTGCTTTCTGCTGCGCCCTCAACAGGAATGCGTTGGGTAAGGTTTGCTCGACGCCGATGAGGAGGCAGAGGAGCAGAATGGGAGCGGGCTGTATTGCCCTCTCTTGCCCATCTCCTTTGCCGCCAGAGTTCGAGCAAGTCTCGGGCATAATAACCTCGAAGGGGAAAGAGGATGGGGTAGGGAGGGGCATTCGAAAGACTCCATATGCAAATGTGGGACTAGCGTCGCTCTAACTGAAGTTGAGCTAGTCCTTGAGATTGGTTCACCTACCCTAAAGATCCTCCTCCTTTAGGGTAGGTGAACCAATTTCAAGGACTAGCTCAACTCTTTAGCTTCTTTAGGGAGAAGTTAAAGAAGGAGGAGGTCTAGGGTAGGTGAAAAAATATCTCGTCTCTATCGCGGTAGCCACAATTTTGCCCAAAAAACAACCTTTCGAATGTCACTCCCCAGCCTATTAGCGCCGATTTTGAACGGAAATCATCAAAAAACTCGTGTTAACAAAAAGCTTCAAAAGAAAAAGGAGTAAGAAGAAATTATGGAAAAAAATGAAGGAGTATAAATGAAGTAAATCAATAAAGTCGCGCTAAACAACGTACATGTTCTCTCTCTTTGAGCCAAACGTTGAGTGTTTCAAACACCTCTACGGTGTGAGCACAGAGTTCAGCAAGGCCATCCAGTTGTGATGCCCTGAAATGATCAATCTTGGCCGCGTAGAGCTAATTAAATTGGACGAGTTGTCATGGGTGGAGGGGAGGATTTGTCGAAAAATAGGTCCTAAGGTGGGTGGGAGGGTGAGTGGCAACAAGAGGTTATACCCCTTTCATGCTCGTCTTGTTTCTTTTCTACGGGTTAGTGTTCCGTGAGTTAGGTCGAGGAACGCGACGAGCGGGAAAGGGGCGTGGTTTAGGCTAGCCTACCCCGCTTCACCACCTTAGCACCTGAAGTTCTGATCAGGCTTCAAAGTGAAAGATGTCAATAGGTCCGTAAAATTATTCCTATATAAAATTTCCACCCACCTCACTTCAGCCCATTCACACACCGTCCGCCATCGTTCACCGATCGACTGAAGAGTTTGTTCGAGAGCACCAACTCGCTCATCGGATGACTCGCCTCCGTCCACCTAAACTGAGCAGATGAGCAGGTGAACGAAAGC